TATAAGTCGCAGTTTCGGCCTCACATTGATACCTCATCTTCTGGCAGGACCTGGATACCAGCTTAGTCCTTTTAACTCAGAGACGTACTATAAGAATTCTCGATGATCCCAACCTCTCTGGCTATATCGAACCACTTATCGTTTACCACTTGACTTCGCCTTTTGTGTGTTGCACCAAATATACAACGGACTGTGTTCAGAATAATCGTTCGACATGATGCCTATGGCCTAACGTTTTACCATCGCACCGCTCGTCATCGACAGGGAATTCCCCATGCTGGAACCTAAGTGGTCTCAGACAATGCGGTTTCAGAGGAGCTTCTTCCCGCGTACACTTACATTGTGGAATGAACAAGAAGTTCGACGAGATTTTCTTATAAGAGTAGAGAATGGGGTTTTTCAAAAAGTGTATATTTATATAGGATTCTTATGGATCGGCAATGCGCACGTGACCTGTGATACTAGGGGTGGATACCCTGGTCTTAAAATATTTGCAACCACAATAGCGTATAAGAATATTAAAAATAATTATGTACACTACTGTACAGAGCAGAGGTGAGCAACGCGCGGCCCGTGAGCCGTTTGCGATCCATTAAACCTGTTTATACTTTTATAATATATTATATTTTTATAATAGAATTTATTTTCTCGCATTAGTATATTGTTATAAAATTAAATGTAATAAAGTAGTAGGACATACTAAATCAAACAATTTTTTGTGACGACTTACTTGTTACACTTGGCGGCGTGTTTGTATAGGAATACTTTACGTTTTAAAATTTTTGTGTCTATTATTCAAATTATTATGTGCGGCCCGCTAAAAATTGGTCCATTCATTAAAAAGGTTGTTTACCACTGGTATATAAGCATGTAGCAGCCCTGCTCTACAGGGTTGCTAACGACAACGGTAGGGAGACAGGGGGTGAGGGGGGACACCGCGGTTTTGCAATATACCTAGAATTGTAACTTAATACGCGGTATACACTAATTAAACGCAGTGCAGAACTGAAATCTAGATGCGAACTAGTAATAGTTTCGTGCAAAATTGTAATACGATACGATGGGGGAATAATCTACTCAAACCTATTATATATATATATATTCTAATCTATTCAAAATATTTATTCATGTTTATTAAAAATTCGCCAGTTAAATAGAAAAATAGCACTATACAAAATATACATTTTTACAAGGCAAGCATTTAAAGTTTTTAAATTTATTTAAATGATTATTTTTTCCTTTAAAGTTTCAACAAAAAATTGCACAGAAGTATTATATATCATTTTAAAAGTATTTCGATAATTATTAAGACGGCGTGGTTAATTTAATTGACTTATATAAAAGGAGGCAATCTAGATTCTAATTTTGAAATTTGAAATTTTTATTTATTTTTAAAATCATATTCTCAAAAAAAAATATCAAATTTACTAAGTACTTAATACATGGTAAGCAGAGCTTGTGTCATGGGTACTAGACAACTGATATAAATATATAGATCTTTCTTTTGTAAATGCATACATATTATACAAATATAACTTCAAGCTACTTGGTGGTAGAAATAGATGAGACTTCGTGCTTACCTTCGCAGGTGAGTTTTACAGTTTATCTCTGAAAGCATGATATCTTATGCTTTCTATCCTATATTGTCACACATTCCTATAGAATGGCAACGCATGAGTGGTATGTCAGAGGTACCATGATAACGCGATGTTTGTAGTACTGTTCATGTATATAGGCGACGGTTACCGTTTACCACCAGGTTACCCGTAATATGTTTGTTAATCTAAGAACAAAAAGAACTGAAGTAATGTATTTCATTTACAAGTTAGCCGTAATATGTTTTATGTTTTAAGAACATAAAAAAATCAAGTAATTAAACTAATTCTTTTAATATATATAAAAATAGACATTGTAATTTTATACAACATACCTTAGGTACAAAGTTTATTTAATCACGCAGTAAACACATTCTTACCTATTGAATATAGCTGATCGTACTAACATGACTCTACATGACCCGCGGTACGATTACACATTTGTATACCTAAACGAACCGATAGCGGATTGCAAGTTCATCAGATAACAGATAATTAAAAAGTATCATTATAATAAAATGCCATAAAGTATAAATTAAATCGTGTTTATAATTGAAATTGTTAATCAGTTAAAAATGTTGCAAAAACGGGGAATTACAGTTGCGTATGTTAGATAGGTAATATTATAATGATACTAGCTGTATCGGCAAACGTTGTGTTGCCATATAAATTAAAACCGCTATTAAAAAATGGGGGTTGATGCTAGAAGGGTGAAATTTAAGGTTGTATATATTTTTCTATCCTAAATAATAATAAAATGAAAATAAAATATTATGTCGAAAAAACTTAGGGGTATGAAAAATAGATAGTAGCCGATTCTCAGACCTACTGAATATGCATATAAAATTTCATAATAATCGATTAAGCCTTTTGATGGGAACAAACATTGTGACACGAGAATTTTATGTATAAGATTTTTTTAACATGCGTAAACTTAAAATATGCTGTATTTTAATAAAATATCTCAGCTATACAAAGCAACATTTCCTGCGCTATTGTTTCCAATTTAATTAGATTTCCATATAATAATGGCGCTAATGCGAATCGGGTGCGAAATATATAGAAACCTGGAGAAATTTTATAAAAAAGTGGGTAGATAGAGGGAGTCCCTCTATCTTACATATTTCGGTGTGTATTTCGGTGTGACAATATAGAACTAGGGATTTGGAAAAGTCACAAAACTTCTGTAAAAAACATGACATCTAGGACCCCTTTACAGAACTTTTAGGAGACAACATTTCAAAATCATCCTAAAATTAAAAAATTACTAGCTGTGCCCGCGGTTTCACCTGCGTGAAATTTATAACCTATTATTATATATACACTATTATTATATACTATAATTTATAACCAATATATAATATGTTATTCTAATGTATAGTTAAGTAAGTAAGTAAATATTACTGTAAATTTACATCAAAATCCGTTCAGTAGTTTTTACGTGAAAGAGCAAGAAACATCCATCCATACTCACAAAATTTCGCGCTTATAATATTAATAAGATAAAATTTAAAACGTTATCACCTATGACAGAGAGGAACTGGGGAGAAGGAGGGGGAAATAATGGAAAATGTAAGATATAATTAGCCCTCAACTACCTCGCTTATTTTTAACACTTTGCAACTTACTTTGTAAGTTGCCTTTACTGCAGCGAAATTACTGGACTAAAATGCTTGACACTTTAGAACTTGGTAATAACAACGCATATTAAAGGACATAGCTACCACGGGATCACAGTGTATTTTACGATGTCGGTGGCACAGTTTATGTCTAATGGTGATGTTAACAACGTTTCGGTTCATTTTATGATGATATACTTAAAATGTTTGCTTATTTGTAACTCCACTTTAAACTGCCTTATACTTTGTCCAAAGTCTTACCTGTTTCAACCGCTGAACTGCTTGCTTTGAACGCTATGTTACGGGAAGGGTCTGAAATTACTGGATATTAAGCAGAGCTTCTTAGTCCTTCGAAATGGCAACACATGAAGGGTTTTTTTGAAGAACACATGAAGGTTGATAATGGAATGGTGTACCCGCCCGCGCTAACGGTTTACGCTGGCGTAGCACCAGTGGAGGGTGATAAGATGAGCATGAGGTCAGGTCAGCTAGCCCATCGTGACAAATTCACCAAGAATTTAACACGATGGTTTCCAGGGGGAACCGCATGGAGGTCGACATGACATGGTACATTGTAGCAATGGGGTTATCAATCCACATTACTCACAATCCCCTTCCCCCTACACATGAAGGGTTACACGGGCGTTACGTTAGGATGTAATGCCTTATTTATATACATATTGTTAACTGGATCTTACCAAAAAATATTTTTGTGGTAAATAAAGGTTCTCTACGTCTCTAATAGCTGATAGGGTCAAACAGCAACAACAACCTCGACAACCACACAAATCTGCAATTGCCGATAATCTTCTGAACGCTGGACAATTTATTGGATTAAGATTCCATGCGCTTAAGGTCCTCTCTACTGATCATCACTGATATCAACTAATGATAAAATTGAAATTTTATAGAATCCCAATTTCAATCGAGAGGATGGCTCAAAAGAATCACCTGCGGAATCCAGTCATAAATAAATATAAACAAAGTTCGGTAGCATCAATAATCCATATGTGTACGGATACTGTGAGTGCTGTGTGCCGCGATCTTTCGTAATTCAATATAGTGACGGTACTAGAAAAAACCGCTGGCTCTAACGGACATTGACATCTCTGTTCGTGTCCACGGCTAGTCCAACCTAGTCATAATGTCGACAGAGGTAAATACCTTCATTTGAAATAAAATTATTAACAATATTCAAATATAGCCTATACCCATCAGCTTCTTTATTATTCCATTTATATAAAAAAAAAACCGATGACTAATTCTAGGAAATAATTGCAATATCTAATAAAATACCAATAAAAATACAGAACTCAATTGCGTATTGATAATTTACCTCGACACTGATATCCGAAGTTTCTAGAAAGTTTCGCAGCATAACGATTGTATGATTTATCAATAAATTAATGAGATGTTTACTTAATTCGTTATCAGTCGACTGTAAAGGCGTAATGTATAATGAGTTTATTCATTGTGATAAATATTACGCAAGTTTATCATCAACATAAACATGCTAAAATAGTTATTTTTTCTTCGCATTTCATAATCATCCTCATTGTTCATCGCATTCTGATAAGACTTTATTAGGTGGATAGCATTTTAGTTACTGTAGAGGAAGCGCGACTCTAGACTTATAAAAAGATATTATTTAAAAGTAGCATAATAAAACAAATAAAAATACGTTACTTTGGTATAGAAATACTTTTATAAACAAATGTTTAATTGTAAACAATAATAAACTTTACAGAGGTATTCTTAAAAAAATACATATTATTATATTTAAATTGATTCTTAAATAAATACTGCAATCTTAACATGGCTGGCTATCTTATGACTAATTAAGTTTTTATTTAAATTAAAGGCTTAGTCGGTAAGTACGCGAAATCGGGCGATGGTTTTCAACTCTGCAACAAAAAATATTTATTTATAAATTAAATCACATTAAATTAGTGATCCAGCCTAGATTCACACGGGTGTTATGGACTGTACTTTGGAAATCAAATATGTACAAATTTTCCCTGCTAATGTAACATTTATATGCGAAATATATTTTAATATCAACTAACTATTTTCGGAATTTAATATTAAAACTAATATTTACCTGTTACATAATTAGTTAAATGTGAAATTCAATTTAGTAGCAGATATCTTAATGTATTTCTGAAATTCGGGGTGCTCAGACGTACGAGTAGGTATGCCAGCTCCCACATGCTTATAGACATGAATGCATCATGAATGTCTGAAAATTAACTGAAATACCTGCTACCAAATATGAATACCTGTATCAGACAACAGCCACGTAAGTGCATGTCTACATAGCTTGTTTGCAAATACCACGTACTTAGTTTCATGTTAATATAATGGGGAATTTCTCCTGCAGACGCCTGCATTTCTGCAGGTTCTAGACATAGACGAACAATTTTGAACTATGTTGTTAATATTACCGTGCTTCCCAGTTTAATGTGGTTTATATTAATTTTGCAGTTTGTATTCACACGAAATCTCAAATATGTGATGCTTAATAACATTTACATTTTAATACGTGAAGCATAACTTTGTACCTATTGTTTGTTTTAGAAAAGTCCGCAGACGGTGGAGTATGCAATATCGAACTTTTGTAGTTTATATAGTGAATGAGTGCTTCTTTTTTTAAAATTAATTATTGGATAATACATTGAAAAAATTATAAAAATATAATGACTACCACCTATTAGACTGACACACGCATATACACTCTTTTGTTTATTGTTCAAGTTTGTGGTCAATTTAGAATAGATTATTATTGTTTGGACCGACGATCTGGTCAAGATCGCTGGAAGGCATTGGATGCGAGCAGCGCAGGACCGATCGTCGTGGAGATCTTTGGGGGAGGCCTATGTCCAGCAGTGGACGTCTTCCGGGCTGCGATGATGATGATGATGATGATGATTATTGTTTGTCTTTAATATTATTTGTCTATAGTCTTACTGAATGTTTAATTAATTATGGTTGAATTTCGACCACTGGCCACTACTAGTTTATTCATAAGAGCAACATGCACGTTTCTTGGTCGTACTTCTTGTGATGATTCAAAAATGCTATTAAGTTTACTTGAAGTAATATTATTTCAATTTCTAATGAGAACATCGCGGTTCCAAATGCTAGTTTGAATCTAGCAGATAATATGATCAATTGTTGTGCCACATTACATTTCTGATTGGCTCTCTGATAATGGAAATATCGATAAATAATTCAATTAATAAGCGTGACCGCGTTAGTATCGTCGTAATTTTATGAAAAGGTAGATGAAGGCGTCATATGATAATTGTTTAAGTTTTCTTTAGTTTTTTTAGATTTGTAATAATGACGTTAGAAATAATGGGGTCGGCATATTTGGTGACAAAATCCTCCAACTTTGTTAAGATAAAAAAAAGTCATACGAGCCTACGGCAAGTAAAAAAAATTAACTTACATAGCAGCACACGACGCCCTTGTGATGTTGGTTTGGGCAAAGGACGACTTGAACTCCCACCACATTCTCGGGGGCACAGTCCTCTACCCGCATGCAGATACCACCCTGCCGCACGCAGGATTCCTCCAGGGAGATCACTGACACCTCTGTCAGATTATACCGAGAACCTTTAAATTTAAGAATATGAAAAGATATTTGGAATTCACAACAACTTATTAGAATTGGAACTGATAGTTGGTTTATTTGTTATTTATTTATATTTAATTGAATTTTGTACAATACCTAACATTACAACCAGCTAATATTAGGAATGCAGAGAACACTCGAAAGCGGATTAGTTGTTTTAAATAAAAAATATAGTAAGTAGGTAGAAATATAAATTGTTTGTGTTTTTATGCTGTATAGTCTACATCTTAAGAAGTCAGAATTTCCGATTTCAACTACTATCACCTGGTCAAGTTATAAGTAGAGTCAATTCTATGCTCTCGACACGCTAGATGGTGGTCGTGACGAGCTCTTTCAAAAATGGAGTAATTACTGATTAAGTGTTCAAACTTCATCTGATTATTTTTTTATGTAAAAAAAATAGTCATTGATCAAACATATTAATCAATATATCTTCACGTATAGAATAAAGGGAATGAAGGAATTCATAAAAGGAATAACTAGCTCTTTTGTCCGCTGCTTCCTTCATCTTAACCACGCATTTTGTTACAGTTCTCATTTCACTATAATTTCGAGAATTTCATCCGGTAAGTAATATACAACCTCCATTACATTCACAACGTGCATATTCTACGACTTACTCTAAAGCCGCTTTGGGTAGGTAGTATGCAGAATATTAAACTCCACGAAAGAACCGAGTTGAAATTTTGTAGATTTTATAACTTTCTCAAGTAGATACGTACCTACTACTTGAAATATGTTACGAGAATAAGTTTGGTGTAGCAATGAACCACTGGAATACGAATTCTAGCATCTTTATGGCAAATAAAATAATATGCTCTGACGGTAAATGATAAAATTGCAAGTGGCATTTCAGGCTTTCATAGTTGCTTTCAAATGTTTATATAATATGTTGTCTTTAAAAATTCATTTCGTTGAGAAACAATTTTGTTTATTGTGACATGTTTATTAACGTTACTTTTTGTTTTTAGTTTTATTTCTTTTAATATAATAATAATATTTCCCACAAAAAACAAAGTATAAACTATATAAAACAAAATAAAATATTCCTAAGGGTATACAGATACAGATATAGTATCTATTTGCCATTTCATCTCAAATGCATAAAGCTCGCGCGATGTCCATTCTCCTTTGCTGGAAAAGCGGGTTTATATTGATAAAAATTTAATGAAATCTTTGTGTGTTATCGGGAGAATGTTCGCGGGAATGTCTATCCACTTTGTTGAAAAAACTTTTTTTTTATTCAATTGAAACCTAACCTACATTTCTCAGCTTGGAAAGTATTCGCCCCAGTTCTATCTACATTGATTGAAAATCGAGTTCTCTTATTTCAATTTCAGTTAGTTTTTTTTGTTACCTATTGAACGAGAACTCTATTATTATACAATCTAGGTCGTACAATTTATAACACAAAAATAGGTTCCGTTCCATTTTCCGTTACACATGTACCCTAATATTTATAATTAATACTAGTGGACGGAGTAATGAATTAATCTATGGACTGTAATCAAATGACAACAAAAAATAAAGTATTCTATATATATTATTTCCCCTCTAATATTTAAGTATATGTCTCGCTTCCTTTAGCCTACATGTTGAACAATATTTAATAGCAAATTATTTCAAAATTTAATCCTAATTCCTCCAGCTGTTTTTATGATTTAAGGCGAATTTTCACGATGTTTTCACGACGATATAGATAAAGAGGATAATAAAGATTAGTATTATATATAACGAGCCATTAAAGTATTTACACACGAAATTTGAACAGCCGTGATGTGGTAGAGAGCCGGTAGTCGGTTGGAGGGTACTACTGAAATTAAAAACTCGCGTCAAAATATTCGTCCGACAAATTCTGTTAGTACTTAAGAGGATAAATTCTATATTGTCGTGGATAGAGGCTGTAACAGAATAAGAAGAGTTTGTTCACGCAATAAAATTACGATGTAGGTATTCTTCTGTGATTGTTTTATCTCTATTCACATATATTTCGTGTTCTATCACCCAAGTGCGATAGTAGGTAATACTTTCAGTCGGAAATATTTACGTTCCGGTAAGTTTTACTCTATTATTAAAGTAAATTAAAAGGTACTTATTAATTATTCTAAATATTAATTTTAATTCCAATAACATGCAATCTTTAGTTACTGTAGTAAAATATTAACAGTATATTCACGATTTGTATTAGGGGTGTGTGGGATATGCAGCCTTAATTTTCGTGAATGAAGTTTCATCGATCAATGTAATTTGTTCAAACATCTTTTATATCTGCAAAATTAGATCTACTGAACCACAGCGACGCTAGGTCATAAGTATAAACGAAGTATTTTGTTGTATAATAAGAAACAATCATTTTGTTTACTCTTCTAACAAGTTCCTAGACAATTGGCTATTAAATAAATTAGAAATAAGAATTGAATTTCTATTTGATTACAAGCCAACTCCCGAAGGATTTATTGTTGAAAACGGTTGTTGTGACTTTAAAATGTTTGTTTACATTATGCGATACTGTAAAGAAACATTTTAAAGTGAGTAAGTACTGTAGCGGATCTTGGAATGGAGAAAATATAAAGTAATGCTATTTTTGCACTCCGAGAAAAATATTGTTAATTTAATCTACATTAACATATAATTACTTTAAATAAATGTATCTACATTATATACCGCTTTATTGTACAACAAAACATAATCACATAATAAGTACATATTGTACAGTCAATAAATATAACGAATTATTTATAAAGGTGATTAGATTGATATCATAGTTTAAAATTTTTCTGTTACAATATTTATTGCGCTGAAGGTTATTTTTAATTCAACAGTTCTTATAATTTACTTTTAACAAACATGTATATATATAATTGTATATGTATTTTATACGGGTATATTAGTATGTTTATATATTTGCATATAATAATATTATTTTTCTGTATTTATCCATATTTGTTTTTCTTTATATATTAATTGTTAAATTACACCGCCTTATTATTATCTCTGATCAATGCGACGGTTGACTGGTAGAGAATGCCAACTGTATACACTTTTGTGTGCAAAAGAATAAATAAATAAATATATATTAGACTTCAATATTTTTTCATTGCAATCAAAATTTTCTTATTGCAACATGAAGTGTAAGTAGTGTTTGTATTAACATATTTTCTGTACCATCCAATACAATCTATAGATTTAATTGAGAAGAACTGACAAGAAACTCAACTGATAATATTATATTTTGATTATCAAACTATATGCATATAGATAGTTTTCTATGTTCTTATTTAGTCCTAGTTCTATTTCCTAGATGTATGTATGTTATAGTTTCTACCTACAGAACAAGCTCGAATAGTATCTCTTCGCGACACAATTTTGGCTCCACTTTATCAGACATACAGATATATTCGATTAAAAAACATACTATTCGGCGTTGTATCTTGAATTATTGTTACTAACCACGTTTGTAAAAAAAATATTATCGAGCTTTATTGTAAATTAAACTATCCTAAAACCCAAAAATCGAAGGCATACTAAAATTATCTGCTTAAGAGTTCATTCACAAGTATACACATGGACATAAGAAATATATAAATATATGAATAAATATTTATTAAAGTTTTAATATTTAAGAAACTCTACATATAAGTAAATACATACATGATATTAGATTTCTATTTACTTTAATTTACTAAGAAATCTGTATAAATTTTTAAATAAAAGAACATTATTAGAAGTTATATTGCATCAAACAACGAAATAAAAAAAGCACAAAAATATAGTAAACATACAATTTAGGTAAGTAACACTCGGGCGGCCCTATAACTACCCAATTTATAGCATTAACTAAATGAAAGTAATTATAAAAAAAAATAGAATTTCCAACACCAAAATAATATATATTTTTATAAAGCTTTCAAACAACACTTATATTAACACGTTAAAGATCGCATCCCCACCGGAACGAAATGCAACGAAAGTAAATTTACACCCTGGGACCGAGTGATATCCCGTGGTCACTTTAGTTGAAAAAATCTAGGGGTTAAATAATGTGTACCTCAATTTATTATACACTAAAAACATATTTAAAAATAATATACGTAATTAACAATAAAAAAAACCCGATTCCTATGTGAGAAATAAGATTTCTTAATGTGGTCTTCAACGTGTTAATAATATTATAATTTTATAAAAATTACCTCTAGTATAAAACTGTTTTTGATAAATATTTAAAGTAATATGATGTACAATCATCACATAATTTTAGAAATTTACAGGTAGAATGCAATTAATTCGCCACAACACGCTACATTTATATGTAGCATTAATATAGTGTATTAATTTAAAATTACAATATAAATTGCTTTTGCATCAAATAAAAAATACGCCAGCTATTTACTATTTTTAATTTTATTAAATCAACACTAAACATTACCTATACTTATTTATCTAATCACAAACATATATATTAACTTACCTTGGAAACCAGGTCCTCTGGACTGCAGAGGAGTCGTTGCAACCATTATCAGCACCATTGCAAATACAAAAACTGTTTTAGAACTCATTTTTTTTAAGTTTTTTTATTTAACAAGCAAAATCGGGATAGCGTATGTTCCGTGGCGGTCAGGTTCGGCATATGGCCATGCCGGGCTCGTATCGCTTATATATACAGCTTGTGGATAAACAAAGTGTAGATTCCACATAACACGTTAATTATGTTATTAAAAGTCGCTAATCAGTTTGCTGAATATGTTTTAAACAACAAACGGTATTTCCAATGTAAATAGTTAGTAAATACATTTCTTGGTACGGGTATGTAGGTGTATGTTGATGGTCCATATAGTATATAGTATCATAGGACCATTCAAAAGGATGTCAAACCTCTGTACCCTTTAATTTTAATACCATTTCCCACCCTTCAACAACCTTATCCCTATATACATTTGACTGTTGTAGCGCTATATTTCAGAGACTCCTAATCAATGCCAAAATGACCTATAGGTCCACGAGCTGGTAAACATAAACTGTATACATGACCAGCACATAACGTTCAAGTTAAAGATAATTTGAATACAAAATTAGCTTTTTGGATTTATTTTACTAGCCTTACTGTATATAATATATGTAGAAGTAAGTATCTATTGTGTTCAGGTCATTAAAAAACCGACTTCAATCGCATAATGAAAGATAACTTAAATACGAAGGATCAGATAATGATCAAATGCTTATGAAACCACAAGGGAAAGTTTTAAAATGAAATATAATTGTCACAATCAGTTTACGTAGAAAAAAGTTCGGAGTTGAAACCTAAAAAAAAGAATACAAAAAATACGGTCAATTTGAGAACGTCCTTTTAAATCAAACTATGACAATAAAAAGCTTCAAGAATATAACAAAGTTGTCGTAATCAAATGTCGTAACCAATAAATCAGTTCAAACGATGTTATCATTTTATTAATAGAATACTAAATATATTCAGTCCATTTATATTATATTTTTTATTTTAGTACATGCAGTGATATAATTAATATTAAATTGTTATTACAGCGCCTAAATTATACTCTCCAAATTTATATTACTAAAAAAGTATAATATATATATATTTATTGATATCGGGAAATAAATATTTTAACTTGCAGATTAGTTGTTTAGTTTTCATATTCATGTGGTTCAATGTTCAACTCGATTCAACTTTATCTGCACATGTCAAATAGTTCATACATAATCGCCAAACTTTCAATTTCTATCTGTTTACTAGAAGTGTTGCCAGGTTTTCGAGTCTCATACAAGATTTAGGGTAAAAAATTATTAGTGCATGAATTGGGTAGTTTTTGGAGTTTGAATTTAATCAGGGTATCGTAAAGAAAGTACAATTTTTCTTAGAGTATTTTAGCGAAAATAATAAAGAGATCAATGCCTTTAAAAGTTTAATTATCTAATAGTTGACAACATAAATAAATACTTCATTATTCAACAACATATATCATATTTTAAAATAAAATTAACAAGTACTTTCACATATAAATAAGTACGTGATAGAGGTGATCAAAGTAACAGACTAACCTAGAAATCCCATTAGCTATTGACGAGCCTGGTCCTAATTACAAAAGTCTACGGGAACCTTAAAACGTCTGATAAATTAGGGAAACAAACACTTCTAATTACGTTAAAACACGTTAAAACAGAAAGTGTGTCAGAATCTGTTATGATGTAACCACTATTTTTACTAGTAAATTAATTGGCAGCGTACTTGACCTTATGAATTGTTTGTCATCGCGATTGTACTTGACTCTTGACCCTATATTCTCTCATGTGACAGTTGTAGTTTAGAGTACTGCGTTACTTATATTATAGATCCGATCTAATGCTACTGGCGCCGTTACATTTGAAGAATAAACATGTCTGTAAAAACGAATTTACTATTGCATTTGTAGTATATGTTTGTGGACTAACAGTAAATACATACGATACGTACAGAACCTAGTTATTTATTGTACAAGGTAAACACAAACACGAGTTCTATGATTTGTTACAATTTTTAATACTATCGTGCTTACGCGGCTTTGCTCGTATACGTGTACTTTAGAGATCTTGACTATTCGCATACATACATTACGATAATTCTATTATATAATCTAATGTAACTTTTTATAGTTGAAAGAGATTTTCAAATATATTTTCACTTCAATCAATTACAACAAACAATACTAGATAGCTAGCTGTGCTCGCGACTTCGTCCGCATGTTATGTGACCTTGATCTAAAAAAGAAAAAAGTTTCATCGCTCTATATTCAAAAGTTTAGATTTTCCATACAAACTTTCATCCACTATTTTATTTTACCACCTTAAGGGTAAAATATTTACAAACTTTGAATATCATATTTGTTTATATTTAATCAAAAAACCAAGTTTCATGCTTTTAACTTTAAAGAAGACGATACGCCCGTACTACCTTACATCTCCCATTTCACTGCTTGTAACCATTCACATTGAAAAGTAACCTATGTTCTAACTATCTGTCTAACAAACCATTTAAATCGGTTCACAAATTTAGACGTGAAAACGCGACAGACAGACACACAAAAATCTTGTGAATACGTACCTAATATTTAATATTAAGTTTTCAGAAGTAAAGTATTGTATAGCTTTACTTTACTTTTTCGAATGTAAACATAATTATTATCATTACATAGTCTATACATACATATAAATAAAATTGGAGTGTCTGTTTGTAATCATACTAATATTATAAAGAGGAAAAGTTTGTTTGTATTGAATAGACTCCGATAGTACTGGACCGATTTGAAAAATTCTTTCACCATTAGGAAGCTACACTATCCCTGAATGTCATAGGCTATATTATAGTTCCAAAAAAACCTAGGGATCGTTACGAAATATCCAATAATGTAACCCAAGGTGTGAAAAAATTAAACAAAAAATACCTAACACCGCATGCGCTGCGAAAACTATTCATGATAGAACAAAATTATGTACCACAACTTTGTAGAGCACATCATTATCTATAAAAAGTGTCGCGACGGCATGTCGTTACGTCACAATAAATGTTTTTTTTTGTTTATAAATTTAATTAAAGTGCCGTCGCTAGAAAAGTATCTTCCTTTTGTATCGTGGTATTAATCCTTATCAAAATAAATTACCTTATATTAACGACTGATTCAATACCTGTACATAACTTTTTGAATTATTCAATTCGGGTATTCCATTCGAAAGATATCACGTATTTAACAATGTAAGTATTAGAAAAAAACCTACTCCTCTGTTAGCTATCAACCAAATGCGATGTAGGGGCGTCACTGGGGTATGGGTACACAGGTAGGGAGATACTTGCTAAGATAATACAATCGGGGAAGATAGCGATAGCATTTGCATCCTCAGGAATTGCTGCAGCTCTCATAAAGGATGTAAAAACTGCTCATTCTACTTTTAAACCTCCGCTATCCGTAAATCTTGTGATTTCCCACAACAACTGCTCAAACTTGGGGAAGGAATTTTTCCCACTCCAAATTTAAACAGAAATTGTGATATCTTTCTGGATGAGTCCCTAGGTCAAATCATCCATAATTTAGACATTTTGAAATGCTGCATACCCTGACATCGAGAATTTGGCAATCTAGGGCAATAGTGTTACCTAACAATGATAATGTCAATGAAATAATCTGTATATTTAAAAAGTTCCCGGACAAATAAAAAATTACAAATCAAAGGACACCATAACTAACGAAACTAAAACAACGAAAACGCAGTTCATTATCCACAGGAATTTTTACTAAACCCTTCTGGACTGATCACAGCATGATCCAATCATGATTTTGAGAAATATAAACCCATCAGAGGCTGCTTACTAACGAATTGAAGGACAATTTAATTGTAGCGACCATTACCACCGGCACGGGCCACTAGTAGCAGGGGAACTAGCTCATATACTAAGAATACCGATGATCCCAACTGATCTGCAAATACCATTTAAATGGCTTCAATTTTCGGTTAAAATATCTTCTTTGTAATAGAACTATGTATGTTTTGATCTAAAAAACTACGCGGATTTTGATGCTTTTATTTAAAACATGGAATAGATAGATTGACTCAAGAGGAAGGTTTAGGATATATAACGTCCCACTACTGAACACGGATCTTTAACCGAGCGATAACCTATATATTCTATGTCCACGCGGGCGAAGCCGAGGGTGGATAGCTAGTATTGAAATAAACGTTTTTTACTACCTACATATGAATATAAATACGGTACATACACCAAAATAACATTTTTTACAATTTTTGTCTGTCTGTCTGTTTGTTTCGGCTAATCTCTGAACTAGCTGGACCGATTATGATGCTATTTTTTTTATAGTTAGCTGATGTAATGAGGTGTATCATAGGCTACTTTTATTTTAGAAATAAAGTTAAATTCCACGCTTACGAAGTCGCGGAAACAACTGGTATAAAATAAATTCGCTGTATCTATCTGTCCCTATGTATGTTTAAATCTTTAAAACTAAGCAACGGATTTTGAAGCGGTTTTTTTTAATAGATAGAGTGATTCTAGAGGACGGTTTATGTATATCATACATGAACATCCGTGTGAAGCCGGGGTGAATAGCTAGTTTTATAATACAACAGTCAACGTTTAAATAGATATGTAGATAATATAAGATTTATTACAAACTATTAATAACTATTACCTAATACCTATTAGGTAGTTCTACGTATATATTTGTGTAAACATGTATGTGACGTGAATATAAACATAAATCTCCGAACAATAACAATGTTATAAAACAATATGTACACCTGACAAATTCTATGTATTTTAAATAAATAAAAAATAAGAATAGTGCGTAATAATTAGGAATTTTTTTTTGTGAATGATAGTGGAATACTGCACCCGCCTGCGCTAACGGTTTACGCTGGCGGGGCACCAGTGGAGGATGACAAGATGAGCATGAGGTCAGGTCAGTTAGCCCATCGTGGTAAATCCGCCATGAATTAATCACGATGGTTTCCAGGGGGAACCGCGTGGAGGTCAACCTGACATAGTACATTGCTAGTAATGTGGAGTACATTACTAACAACCCCCCCCCCCCCTAATAATTAGGGATTATT